AAAAAAAAAAAAAAAAAAAAAAAAAAAAAATTCATATTACTAGAAAACATTGGTATTGAAGGAACTAGATTCTGTTCCGAAATATCACTTACTTGAACCGTCCTGACCGCGTAGCTCAGTTGGAAGAGCATTGGGCTAGTATTCCAAAGGTCGTAGGTTCGAATCCCACCGTGGCCGGGCATATTTTTCAAGCTCGCCCGGTGTGGATATACACTCAGAGTAACACCACAAATATCATATTCACCTGAGTACACTACACCAACCCAGAAAAAAAAATAATTGACATGTTGTTTTTTTAATAAGTGAATGATTTCCCTGGTTTCTATAGGTTCTGAAGTAGATTTTTGTGTATTTCCTAGAATGAGGGTAAAGAAACTTCCAAAAATCTTAGCGCTTCACTTGAAACGCTTCAAATATATGGAGCATCTTCATCGATATACGAAGCTTTCATATAGAGTTGTGTTTCCCCTGGAACTAAGACTTTTTAACACTGTAAGTACGTTTTAAGATTACTGATTGAGTCTAATATTTCTTCTCTGGCCAATATTTTTGATAGATAAAACCTTATTTACTTAAATTAATCTATTATTTTCTCTTGGATTATTTAGTCAGATGATGCATGTAATCCACATAGGCTGTATGATCTTGTCGCCGTCGTCGTGCATTGTGGAAGGTAACGTCGACTGTTCCTTCATGATTATAAGATTGGCACACTGGGATGCAATATATAGCTGCCGTCTAATGCAGATGGGAAGTATAAATGTCACTCCGGTTGTCAAATGAATTTGAAAATATGTAAAAAATAATTCCATCTTAAGTTACAGTAATGTAGATGTTCACATCCATGGGCAAAATTCCGGACAAACTAAAACCAGAAAGAAGATTGTTTTGCCTGTTCGAAATCATAAACTAAGAAATATCTTTTCTTAAAATTCTGGCACATTATTATTATACATCGAGAAACACACCTTAAACCGGCCTTTGATGAAACCTGTAATGTCGAAACTGACTCATCCCCAGTCACTCATCCTGCGTTGAATGATGGGAATGCATTGTTCTTTTATATCATTTCCATACACCTTAGCGTCCTATTGTTCCAACCACTGAGCTGTATAATAACTAGAGGACCTGCTCCTATACTTCGTTCAGTCAACCAAGTGAAGCCAAAAACATGGCGGATTTTGAGTGAAAATGACGCCATTTCCATGACTACTGGTCCCTAAATTCATGGTAATTGCCACTGAACAAGGCTCAATTGTGAGCCCGCCACAGTTTTCACACCCCCCTGGTTTCTGAAAAAAATATTTCGGATTTTTGCAGTGAATTCTTGTTGTTTTGTTATTTTCGACATATTTTTTCGACGTCTGACCATTTGTTCAAGGATGTGAAAGTCGTACACGTTATTCTCGTCCGTGAAAGACAACGAACAACTATTAAAACCTCCCAAAATGTGGACAAAAACGATATTTCAAGCCAGGCTATAAACAGCAGTCTATAAACATGCAGTGAACTATAAACAGGTAAACATTTTAAAATTCACATTTTTATTTTAATATTTCATGAAAAAATGTTAGGAATAAATGGTAAAATCTACTCTATTTTTTAGAAAATAAGCCACAAGTGTTTATAATGTGGTTGTAGATAAACCTTTTTGTATTTACTGTATTAACTTTATGCAATGTTTCATCCCTCGCAATATCGAGTTGCACAACAGTACATGTATGATGAAACTATGATGTTCTGGTGTATTAAAGAGGAAATTAAGGTTTTATATATTTAGCCAAGGGTTTTGTTATGCATGAGCTTGTGGTGAACTGGTGCAGGAAAAAGCTCAGCTGCCTAGTAGGGCCAGCTGAAGTGAGAAGGCATGTTTTATATCCAGAATTGTACATTGTAGTTTTAATATGTGCTCTCTGATTGTATTGTATTGTATTGTATCATTTGTATGATAGTTTGTTGTATGTGTCTTTAAAAGGCCATTAGCTTGTTTGCCCCATCCCTCAAATATTAAGTTAATTGTGAGTCTCTAGTTTTGCCATATTGCAGTAAGCGAGACTTCACTGTGTGGTTATTTTAATATTTTTATAGTGGAAATTCCTTTCAATTTGCATGGATAACCTGGCTCAGTTTGAGATCTCACTTGAACAAGACAAGATCTCTAAATGTTAGACAAGATAGATCCTCACCTGACTGACTTGGTCAAAATGAAGTCAAAACAACAAAATTGGTCATGAAAATAGTGTCAAAACAATAGAGATGCAGAATTTTCCAACAATGCATGAGTCCATGCCACTGTTGTCTGTTAATGAAACTCAGTACCAAGCTGCAACATGTTTGTTCAAAATCATGATTAATTTTGTATTATTTTAATTAAACTTGGTCAAAGAATAATTATCAAATTAATAATTATAACTGTACAATCAAGTTACAATATGTGATAGAGTATTATTATAACTGTAGCTCCATGGGTGATTCTTTGGCTGTCCCCTGTTTTGATGCCTTGGGCCATTTCTTGTAGTACATATAACAGGGTTTTTTTTCAGGATTTTCTCTTGGATACGTTTTTGCAGAGAAGATTGAGTTTAGCTGAACAGCTGTGGTGGTTGCACCCCCCCCCCCCTACCGGGGGGCTGACACTTGTACTCAACAAATGTAGTTGAGATGGAATGTGTTAAAGCAGGGGCATTGAGGGACACTATAAACTGGTTAACGATGGCGAATGCATAGTTTTTCTTGTGTTGTGAGATGAATTCCAGCCATTTTTCTTAATTGTCGGGTTTCCAACTGAAAACTAATTTCCACACGTCACAAATTTAACTCAAACAACTTCATTTTCACTGCACTGAAACTTTGGTGAGAAGATTGAGTTTCAAAACTCAATTCAAGATTGAGTTTCAAAACTCAATTCAAGATTGAGTTTTTGGGGCCGTTTAACGGCCCTAAAAAATCCCTGAAAAAAAGCCTGATATAAGACTTTGGAGAAAAGTCATTGTTAGTTTTTCCAGTTACGGTAGGTCTGGCAAGTGCCATCACTACTATAACACCACTATTCTTGTTATTTGAACATTCCAAAGAACTTGTCCACATGACTTACATCCCGGATCACCCTAAATGAGAAATATCAATTATATTTATAAAATAGTGACAGCTAGTATCATTAGAACACACTTTGAAGAAATAGTGAGTCACATATACCAGGCTCCAAAGTCCAATTACAGGGAAATGTACTGTAGAGTAGACATTATTTATATGTTAACCCATTCAGCACGTACCACTGTGCTCTCTTGTTGACAAGTAAAATTGTTGGTGTTAGACAAAGTAACACAAACATATACAGTAGGGTGCAATGCAACTGAACCCATTGAGGGGCAGCACTCTCAACTTGACGAGTAAAATTGTCTGGCATTGGACGGAGTAAAATATTGTAGTGGGGCGCATTGCCACTTAAAGGATTAAAAATGGGTTCATTACGGATGAAATAAATTGATCCAAGCATTTTTCACAAATGAGTTCTGGCATTTATAAGCCCAGCTAGCTTGCAACCAACTTTAAAGCATGCAACCAACTTTAAAGCATACAGCAGTTAATTGCACCCAAGCTTATTATTTTACTCAGGCAGTCTAATGTCTAATGCCCAAAGTTTCATTTTACATTTAATTACAATATATCACAAATGATCTAAGTGAGAAGATTCACAACAATCACAAATAATATATCTAACTGAAATTTGAGCTCTACTCCAATACTGGGGACACCACCACTGAAACCTGAAACTGCTCTCAAACATATCATCAATCAATTTAGGTTAATTGTCAGAGCATAAGGTTGGCCGGTCAATGCCAAGGTGACTGGCACACATATTGTGCACCTTTCATTCCTATATTACCTCTGATGACTGTGGGATTTATAGAACTCTGACAAACTATATGTTGGGCGGGATATTGTAAACCGGCCTCTGAATGTAAGCCAGCTAGCCCTGGGCTTGTATTCTAATATGTATGGCTAAAGCTGCATTAATAAATATACCTGGAGCCAATTGTATCAAGCCTGTTTAGCTGAAACGTTGGTTAAGCTCAAAATAGAAAGCAACTCAGACTCTATAGATTCATTCAACAACCAAACTAGAAGTTTTGAACCTTAATAGAATGATGTTTACAACTACATATTCAGTGCAGAATATTTAAGTTGACTGATTCATGAGAAATTAAGCTAAACGGGCTTGATACAACCGGCCCCTGTCAAATAATATAAGCCCATGGGCTTGTACACACAGGCCTGGCTTACATTAGAGGGGGGAGGGGCTTATATTCGGAATAGCCTGAGTAAATATGATGGGATTATACACAGGGGGGCTTATATTGGGGGGAGGGGGGGGGGCTTATATGTTTATGGTAATTGCTTGATTGCAATGGGTATTGAATGGTTTGAACCTGATGTCTTTGGCCTAGCCGCCTAGCTAGCAAAGTATTTGTTCACTTGTCTACATGTCATGTAAGTGAGATTTCATATAACTACACAGTAATTATAAACAACTGCTGGCAAGAACCTGGCAAGGATATCACTCAAAGTTTGTCAAGGAAAATTTAATATACTAAAATACTAAATAAATACAAGTGTGCAGACACTACAGCAAGGACTTTGAAATCATATTAACCAGTCATGAAACCCTACGCAAATATCGCTATAGCAGTAGTAGTACCAAATCAAAAGAACAATAAAATGTACAGAATTGCCAACCATTTACAGGTTGTTATGTCTGCTAATAATTTGCTGTTCATATACTTTTATGTTCGTAGTATTATAAACTTTGTAGTTTGTACTTCTGCTTCAAATTTTTTACAATATATAAAAATCTTACCGGTGAATAAAAAGATTCTTCTTGTACATCTTTTCAGTGCGATTTTTACCTCAAAAACAAGCGAAATCATAAAATATCCATTATATCTGTGCTGAAACCAGGGGGGTGAAGTACATTGTCGAAAACTTAGGATCGCGGTTGGGACAGTGGTAGTTGCCATGAATTTAGGGACCAGTAGTCATGGCAATGGCGTCAGATCCGCCTTGTTTTTGGCTTCACTTGAATGACTGGCGGAAAGATAGGAGCACCTCCTCCAGTAATATTATCCATGACTACTGGTTCTTATTTCTCATGGTAATTACCACTGACCAACCGCGATCCTACGCTTTAAACAATATCTTTCACCCCCCTGGTTTTTTTCACAAATATGAAATATTTTGGTTTAGTTTGTCTTTGAACTGAAAATCTTGATATTTTTCATCAATTTTGTCTGTTTTACAAAGTCAAGGAAGACGGTGCATTTTTGCTGTGCCTGTTATGGCTCTAAAAGGAGAATATTACCGGTAAGATTCACGATTTTTTTACTTTCTCGCTTGGCAACGTTGCCATATATTTTTAACACTCGTGGATATCTCAAAACCTGTCTGATGCTATATTAAAACTGTGAGTATTACTAGTTACAGCAGTTTTTTCATTTCTACATTGACATTGTAGTTTTAAGCAAGTTTTCCTGGACAAACTCTTTCCTGTCTTGTTTTATTAAACATTTAAACTCATTTCTTGGGTTTCATGGTGCTTCGGTTTGTGTTTTGTTTTTAAAATTGTTTATTGATTTAGGTTTTTAAGTGCTAGTTTTGCCAGGTTTTTGAAATAGCAGCTATCTACTGTGTAGCTTTGTATTTTATACAGGACATGTAGGGTGTGAGTGCACAGCCAACCTTTCCAGCACTCTCCAAAAGTTCAGCATCAAGCAGTTTATATTATTTAACCCATTGAGGGCCAGAACATTTAACTATAGACACATGAGCAGATAGCCTGATTAATCCATTGAGGGCCAGCACTCACCCCTTGATGAGTAAAATAACCTGGCATTTGACAGAGTGAAATAATAAAGTAGGGTGCATCAGGACACAATGCGACTTACTGGGTTAAACATGAGTTTTATGATTTGTAGCACTACCCACATTGTATTATTAACCCTTTAAGTGGCAATGTGCCCAGATGCACCCTACATTATTATTTTACTCTGTCTAATGCTGGACAATTTTACTCGTCATAGGGTAGGTGCTGCCCTCAACATATTTAGGTTAATTCCAATCTTCGATTTAGCTGGAATGACCCAATACATGCCATTTGCTACTGTAAAATTGTAAATATGCCGGATTTCTCTTATCTAGGCGCTGATACTGAAATGTGAAAAAGAAAGCCACCCAAGGTCTTAAATGTTCAAATAGCAAGAGTGGTGTTGTAGACATCAGACATGTAGTGGTGCACCATATGTTAAAATTAAATATTGTCCAACTTACAAAAGTAAGGGCCCTGGCCAGCATTCCTGCCCTGAACTGGAAAGATAACTTCATTTTATCATTGCTATCAGACTGTGATAAACATAGAATCATGTTATTGTCAGTGGTGTTTTTAAATACAATATGAATGCTTACAGTTATAATTATAACTTGTATGGTTGTATATATAGTTTGTAAAACTTTTTCTTGCTGATTTATAATTCTTTTTTTAAGAAGGTATAAACAAAATAGTGAAAACCCCTGGGGGTAATGTAGGGTAAAGGAGGGAGGGTATCTATTTATCTGTGAATTAATGATAATTTATTTCAAGCACACAGGGCTGGATTGACTGGGGGTCTAACATCCCCAGGTCCAATCTTTTGAAATGTGTCCCCCAATTTTTGGAGGGCCACTGGTTTGTCAGTTTTTACTGTTATGTGTTTACCCTCCATAAATAAAGAAGTTGATATAAATAATAATAAAATGCCCAAATGCTGGAATTGCCAAACATGTGAATTTTTTGGGAATGTTGTGCAAAATTGAGGCCAATTCTATAAAGGATATGCTGAAAAAATTTTTAATTAACCTTTTTTGCAAACAACAGTTTGGGAAAAGAAACAATTGCCCCCTCGCCAAAATTTTGCGAATAATTTTGGGGACCCAAAAGGCGAAGGGGCCCAAAGTTCTGTATTCACCCTCCCAAAGATGTGTCAGTTGGCATGGCCCTGCAAGCACAATACAATTGTGATTTGTGTGAGCCAGAAAAGAAATAAATCTCACCAAAACATGTCTTTTTGTGTGATAAATGATGTCTTAATTATAAAGAATGTTTAATAGAGAGGGGGCTCAACAATTTTTTCATCTAAATTGGGGGGGTGGGGTATTAGAGTGGGGGGGGGGTGAGGTTTAACAGGGAGATTACAGTAGCAAACTCAAAGCTTTATTGCAGGTTTTGATGTATGATGCAACTACCTGGATTTAAGTAAGTCTTTGTTCAAAATGTACAAATTGATTCTCATTTTTTCAAATGGCTATGTGCATTGTACACTCAAGCCTGCAAATTTTATATGGGAGCATCTGATATGGGAGTATCTCAGTTGCTGAGACAAGAACTAACATGTTTAATTCAAGTTTGGATCAGAGTTCAGTTGACCAGTAACTGAACAAAAATTTCAGCCAGAGCTGGAAGTGATTTTATTTGACAATTTATAGCCATATTTACAGCCATTCCTATATAATACAATTTATATATAGTACAATTTATAATCTGCCTGGCATATATTTTCCAGGTTTTAATTAACCTATTAAAACTGAGATCCAGTGGTGAGTGGACCCCTACAAACTATCTTATTCACTATCAACTGCACACTGGCACACAATAATCAAGAACGGAAATTATCAAGCCAACACACCATTGCCCAGAAACCTAGGTAAAAATTGTGTTACCAGGTCAAGTGCCCACAGCACCATGTCGGCTTCTCCTGGCACCCTTTCAGCACCCTCATGCCACTTTCAACTTATCGCCAAAATCAACTCACAAGTTCACTGTGAATGATTCCATGCTTCCATGTAAAGTGGGGGAGAATGACGATTGGTTGAAAATACTAGCAAAGGTTATGTTGCTCTTGCAATGAATGGAAAAGAGGCCTCAGCTTTATATGACATGTCAGATGTTAAAGTTTCTTGACAAAACACTGATTTCTTTAACACCCTACATCCCTCTTTTAAAGATAGTAGCACATAGTAGTTTCATGCATGTCTTCACACCTGTAAATAAAAGTTTATACTCAGCAAATCTGCCAGATAAATAAAAGTTTATACTCAGTTTATACTCTTCCTTTGATACAAATAAAAGTTTATACTCAGCAAATCTGAATAGTATGAAATTCAAAGCATGTTAAATTTGAACCCATTGCGTTTGTCGGATTGTGGGAGGAAGTGTAGTGAAATATCTCTACATTTGTACGACAAGACTTATATAATCGTGGCTAAAATATTCACTATATTGTACAAAGCTTCTCATGCTAAAAAATAAATGCATATTATATTGTTTTTCAATAGTATTTTTACCTGGCTGTACAGTCTGCGCCTCTTGCTTCAAATATCGTCTTTGCCAACATTTTGCAAGGCGTTTGTTGTCTTTCCCGGACGTTTACGACTTGTACTTCTTTGAATAGATGGTCGCAGGTCAAAAAATATCAAAAACAACGAGAATTCACTGCAAAAACTCGAAAAACCTATGAATATTTTGGAAAAAACCAGGGGGGTGTGAAAACTGTAGTGGGCTCAGAAATGAGCCTGGTCAGTGGTATTTTCATGGCCAAAAGGAACCAGTTGCCATGGAAATGGCGTGAAAATCCGCCATGTTTTTGGCTTCACTTTTTTATCCCGAGCACGTCCTCCAGTAATATAGTATAGCTCAGTGGCGCTTGCCTTGCAGGCTTTCCAACCCGCAATGTCATAATGAGGGACTGTGGAAGAGTCAGGTGTCAAAACGTAACATTTTGAAACCAACACATTTTGAAACAAGTTATGATACACATTTCTCATATTAACCTTGGGTATATTCGTTCCTTTGCATTTGGTGGAAACTACCCTGGAATTATAACGTCCAGTATTTACTATTTTTACGCTTTATTCTTGTGAAATATGCATTCTTATTGTATGACATAATGACATTCCTTTTCTAGTGGACCAAATCGGGGACATTACATAAGCATTGTAAAAAGTCACGATTTTTGGCTTTTATTTGATGATGATTTAGTTGAGGTAAGTAAATTGAGCCGAATCGTAGGATGTTATAAGTTCATGAAAGAAAAGTTCCTAGCTTAGTCGAACAATATTGGGCAACAGTCCTGAAATTATTTCACTTGGTTTGGACTGAACACATTCTATATGGCAGAACACAAATATCGAAGTGGTGATCGATACAAAGTACAGTACGTTTCAAAGTTAATGCAAAATAACACAGTTGTTTAGCGAAGGTAAAGTGTATTATTGAAGCTCCATGCACAATATCAAGTAAGAAATATTACTTGTGAATATCCTTCATTAAATGCCTACTGTATGCAATTTGTGTTACTATAGAAAATTGAACCGCAGACGTTTGAAGAATTCTATGGTCTCACAATTGGTGGTCACAAGTCGAGTGATTCTGGTTATATCCTTTTCTACGAGTCCAAAACCTAGCTGACTACCTGTCTTCAAATATACGATTGCAATTTTCTCATTTGTGGGAGCTATTTTTATTAGGTCAGCATGTTCAGATGCACATACATGGGAAATATATTTGATGAATTAATCCAGGTTTTTGCTAATTTAGATTTAATGATATACCTCTTTTTCTGGTTACGACCTTTTTTGCACTGTTTTAGCCCTATCCGAAAAGGCACCACTTTTATATACAATACATATTGAAGTCAAAAGCTACTGTCTATCCAGAATGTAATGATACTTATTTGAGTGATATAGCTGTTCCAGTTTATGCGTGATAACTGATGCAAGGCGGGACATGCGGTATACACTGAATATTTTCAGAGCCGCTAAGAGGTTGCGCGGGGCCCAGGGATAAGTTTTCTCAAGGGGTCTTGGGACGTAAATGATGGGCGGAGGATGATGTGAAAAAATGTTTCCAATCTTCAATTTTTCCATTATGATCTGGGGTGCCCGGAGAAAAGTGCCCCCTTGCCCCTCCCCCCCCCCCTCTTGGCGGCTCTGTATATTAGTAGCTGCTGAACTCAATTGAACCAAATCATATACAATGTTACTGAAAGGGCACGCAACTTCAAACATTTAACAATTTTTTTTTTTTCACTAACATCGACCTGATTGCAACATGCCGAACTGAAATATCGGGGTACATAGGTTCCGTAACTGCAGATTATATGCATTGCAATCAAATTGAGGAAACGCAGGATCGTCATTAGTGATTTTGGGCCAATAGAATATTGTTGTAAATACTGAAAATCGTAGATTTTCTTTTTAACTACTGTATTATTTATCATCTGATATTTGGATACACAGGAAAGATGTTATCCATAGAAAAATCATAGTAGAACATTGGCAATGGATTTTAGGCTGATCTAGTTAGAAAGAACTTTAAACTATATAGTAAAGCTTGGGTACAGTAAAGCTTGTGTACTTTACATTTTTTCGATATTTGTCCTCGTTTTTGAGATTATTTCTGTTTGTTTCAATAGAGATAATAGGGAGTTTACGCATGTGAGACGGCAACGTCAGGACGACGGCTATCAATACAATGTCATTAATCCTATAGCACAAAATAAATGAATAATTAAAAGTATATCTGGAGTTTCAGACGTCGTTCATGCTCTGTTGACGACGGCAAAATGCATATTTTCACGTCTTGTAAAGTACGCTAGCATTTCAAGCCGTGTCAGGCAATTTTTCTAACAGCGTTGATCAAAATTGCTCTGAAAGTTAAAGCTCTGTTTTTACTCGTTCTAAACTGTATTAAATTCATAAGAAAGTAAATACAGAACAACATTTTCATACAATATTTATTTCAAAAAGTTTGTTTAGCCGTCGTCCTGACGCCGCCGTCGTACATGCGTAAACTCCCTAGTAGGAGAATAGAGGAGACATTCCGGGATAAATTGAGGGGAAAATTGAAGCTTGCTAGCGAGGACCAAATTTCCATATCGCCCGCCCATTGGCCTACAACCTCGCATGCCAGGCTCTTTAATCTTTACTTCCGCTTCTCTTCCCCGACACGCTATGCGGAACTAAAGAGCATGCTGTGCGACGTTGCCTTAAAAAATCTACGAACAAAGTTTATGCCCTGCCTAAATGAAAAATGCCCAAATTCATTGAAAAGTCTGTTCCTGTCTCACTCAAATCGTTTTTAATAATTTTTTTGTTTAAAACACAGGCGCGGATCCAGACCGTGGCAAAAGTGGCTCGAGCCACGGTCAGATTTTTCCCACCCAGGATTTTCCGGGGTTCACCTTTGTTGGATACTGCATTACGCATTTTTAAGAAGTATATATTAGTTATTTGAAATACAGCAAAATTGAGCAAATCACGAGCAAATATAGGTCTATAGCAAACAATTTGAATAATATCTTTTGTAATTGGTCTCATATTACAGTAATATGTGCTAAAAGCAGGAAAAACTTCCGAAATATATTCCTTGTTCAATAGTATAATTATCCAGTTAAACACTGAACTATAAAAACCGCCGAAAGCGTGCCGAATTGTGCCGAATATGTTCGGAAAACAGTCGTAAATTCGAAGCTGCGATCACAGCCACAAAATGCCACGGTCAGCGTGCAAAAAATTGCGCAATTGTTACTAAATATAGTAACTTTCTGCCACGGTGCAGCGTTGCAAACCAATCACAGGGCAAGTTGTGGTCATGTGCGCCACGGTCTGCCACGGTGGCTCTATTTTGATTGCGCAATACAAATGATCGACAATAAAGTTCGATACTTGTCGACTTGACGGGATTTAGAATAATACATCACAAGCTACATTCAGACTCGTCCCCAGTCGTTATTTGAATTTCAATTTTATAGGGACGAATAGGTATATATCCATATATATATATATAGATCAGTACCAAATGTGGACGCGCGCAAGGGGAAAAGGGAAGGCGAGGGAAAAAATAACTTTTCTTCTTTCGCCCTTGCCGTGAGCCTCTACGCGCCCACTTCTGGCCGCGCGCCCGCTCTTAAAGCGACTGGGGACGAGTCTGAGCCACTGAACTATATAACATGGAAGTCTGACTCGAGCTCAAAAAGTGAAGCCAACATGAAGGCATTCTTGCGCGTCATTCTCAGTCCCCTTACGTGCGCGGTCAACAAAACTTTTATATTTTTCTTTACTTTCCGAGTAAAATCTGGTGAAAAACAAACGAAATTTGAATGAAAAGTTGAATTCTGGTATTTTGTTTGGGTTCGGTTATAAATTTTAATTATTATTTGTTTAGGAGATGTGATATTTGAGTGGAAAGAAAGCAAAATAGCGCGGGATTGCTGTTTTTGTAAAATGACAAGGAGTGACAAAACAAAACACAAAGTCACTCAATCTTTCAAAATATCTCTATTGCCCCTATCGACAAGAGTTTCACACACATGAATAACTCATTAAAATGAACAGTTTAAGTTTATAAGGCAAACATCAAAGTGATTTTATTAAATAGAAAATAAAAAAACAAAATTTTCTAACATGTATGGAATTAAATTGGCTAAAAACTGCCTCGAAAACTGCAGTTAAAAAGCAGTTTTAGGTCAGGAAAACCGACTAAAATAAGCTAAATAATGGTGTGAAAACTGAAAAGCACCATAGAAACAAGAAAACGAAACAACCAAAGCAAAATTAAATTGCCAATTTATAAAAATACAGATTTTATATCAAAAAAACAAAAAAGTTTGAAATTAGTTGTTGAATTCGCAACGAAAAATACAGATTTACTCACACATACAGTGGGAAAATGCAGTAGACAGATCGATTAGATGAAGGAAATCAGGTTTACATGAAATAAATAAAGTTTATTTCCTTTTTTGCTCTTCTAAAATGAAGAAAAACACAACCCGAGAGTCGCGGACCCATCACTTCCCGCCATGAAAATACAAAAATTGTTTGGCCGCGCGGGTAAGGGGACTGAGGGTGACGCGCAAGAATGGTCGGCACTAGATCATAGACAAGATACCACTGAGCTATACTATATTACTGGAGGACCTGCTCGGGATAAAAAACTATGATAAAAAAGTGTCGCCAAAAACATGGCGGATCTGACGCCAATGCCATGACTACTGGTCCCTAAATTCATGGCAACTACCACTGTCCCAACCGCGATCCTAAGCTTTCGACGATGTACTTCACCCCCCTGGTTTGAGCCTAAAAAAATTGTTTTTGAGAAGAAAATCTCACTGAAAATCGTGATATTTTTCTTCCAATTTGCTTGATTTACAACGGATACTGTATTTTTACGCCGCTCGTATGTGTGAGAATTCTCCAAAGTCCAAACAAGAACGAGAAGAATATATTTTTATTCACCGGTAAGATTTTATACAGTTATTTGAATATTTCTAGATTCTAGCTTGCTGTGTGCCTGTGTCTGCTTGCTTTTATATTAAACTCGATAGAAAAAAAATTAAGAAATGTACGAAGCACAAACCATAGGGAAATGGTTGGGAATCCTGTAAATTTTATTGATTTTAATACCACTAGTCTCTGTGTTTTCATAGCCATAGGGTTTTAAAACCTGCTTATAGTGTCAAAATCCTCACTGTGCACTTACTGTATATTTATTTTATAGCACTACAGGCTTTTATAGTATTATAGAGATATAAACAAATTTTCCCTGACAAACTTTGAGTGATATATATAGCCTTGCCAGCGGTTCTTGTAGCAGTTATATATAATGACTGTGTATACTGTAGTTATATTATTTATCACTTCTACAACAGGCAGGTGAAAATTAAATTGTTTTGCTGAATATGCTGGGCCAATTAAAGGCCATTAAAGATATCAAGTTCAAACCATTCAAATGATTCAATACCCATTGCAATCAAGCAATGACCATAAACCTAAGCCCCAATGACAGACCCCAAATATAAGCCCTCCTGTGTAGAAATGCACCACAAGGGTGCATCGGGGTGCAATGCAACTCAATGGGTTAACTATAGGCACATGCGCAGATAGGCCAGTTAACCCATTAAGCGCCAGCGCTCTCCCCTTGACGAGTAAAATCGTCTGGCATTAGACAGAGTAAAATATCAAAGTAGGGTGCATCAGGGTGCAATGCAACTCAATGGGTTAAATCCCTCTGTGTGAGCCCATAAACTTATTTTTGGACAGGTATTTTTTAATGCAGCGAAGGGGATTCCAACAGCTCAGCCCATCAAAAATGCTATTGAATGAATATAAGCATTGGTTCCAGAAAAGATCCACACTCCCCACTTTCTGCCGTCCGGAGGGGGAGGGGAGAATAAATTGTTTCTGATAATTGTAAATGTATTAGGACATCCGAAGGAGGTAGGGGAGTTAACTTCCAATTTCCTCTGTGGGGGTGGTATGGATGTTTTCTGGAATAACCCATTCAGAGGTTTACATGGTATTCATCTGCCCAACATAGTATGTCAGAGTTATATAAATTCCACAGCCATTAGAGTTGTAGACTTGTAGTTAGGTATTTGTAGGAATGAAGGGTGTCTACGTGCCAGCCAATGCATATTTGCTGCCAATCAAATTGCCGATGATTGATAACATGTACATTTGAGAGCATCTTCAGTGGTGGTATCCCCAGTATTGGAGTAGAGCCCAACTGTTCAGTTAGACATTATTTACGAACTTCCTCTCTTATATCTGCATAGATTATTTTTGATATATTGTAATGTAAAATGAAACTTTGGGATAGTTAAGAAATACAATTAATCCATTTATAATGGACAAGATTGTCCCCTTAACAAGTAAAATTGCCTGGCATATTAGACGGACTTATAAATGACATACCATATTAATTTTTAAAACCATTAGGTTGCATTGTGCCCTAATGCACCCTACTTTATTATTTTACTCTGTCTAACACCAGACAATTTTACTTGTGAACTGGAGAGCCACTCAGTGCTCAATGGGTTAACATGTCAATGTCTAACTGAACCGTCTGGGCTCTGCTCTACAGTAAATTTCCTTGTAATTGGAGTCTGGGATCTGTGACCCAATACATCTTCAGTGTCTTCATATGGTACTGTCACTATTTTATATGTATAATGGACATTTTTCATTTAGGGTGAATCTGATGTACAAGTCATGTGGACAAGAAATTAATACAAGTTCTTTTGAATGTTCAAATAGCAAGGGTTAAGTGGTGCACTAGCTCTTGCCAGACTTAACTGCATGCCAGAACTAACAATTACTTTTCTCTATAATTTTGTGGGAATGTGTTATTTGTTTATGTAATATGTTCTACAAACAGCCAAAGAATAACCCATGAGCTCTAGTTTTAATTTTTTAATAATACTGTTAAGTATTACATGTAACGTGATTGTACAGTTAGGTTTTAATATTATTTATTGCTAATGGGTCATTCCAGAAAACATCCATACCACCCCCACAGAGGAAATTACGTACATTTACTATTATCAGAAACAATTTTTTCCCTCCTCCCCCTCCGGACGGCATTAATTTCCTCCGTGGGGGGAGTGTGGATCTTTTCTGGAACGTCCCAACTGGATAATTATTCTTTAACCATGCAAGTTGAATTAAAATAAATAATATACAAAATCAAGCAAATTTTTGTCTTTAATTAATTTTGAAACAATTAATACATGTTTCTTGGAGGTTCACTAACAACAGTGGCATGAACTCATTGTGGGAACATTCTGCAATAAGCAAGAATAGATTATAGCCATAGGGGCTATCAATATGGAAGCCAGGCTGGCCTGGTTGGCAGAACTATTTATTATTTCCAGATTAATTTCCTTGCCGACACAATTCAGTCTATTGTTTTGACAATATTTCCATGACCAATGTTGTATTGACTTTACTTTGACCAGGTCAGTCCAGTTAGTGTTTATATCCATAAAATATCTTCCCAGTGTAACTGAGAGCTTGCCTTCTTCAGGTGAGATCTGAAAACTGAGCCAGTCAGGTTGTCCATACAATTTGAAAGGAATTTCCACTATAAAAATAACCACACAGTGAGTGAGACCTTGCTTACTGGCCTAGGGCTAGCTGTCACATTAGCCCCTACCTCAGGAACACCAGAAATATGCCAGCAGTTGAGTCAATTAACCCAATACTTATAGGGATGGGGCAAACAAGTTAATGCATGGCCTTTTAAAGATACATACAACAAACTATCAGAGAGCACACAATATACATGGAAACTTGGGCAAAACATATGCATTTTCAGATCAGCTGAGCTTTTTCCAGCACCAGTTCTGAGCTCATGCATGAAAAAACCCGGTCTTGGCTAAATCTACAAAACCTTACTTCCCTCTTTAATATACTAGCACATCATAGTTTCATGTCAACTCAAATATTTGTCAAATTCATATACATGTACAACCATTAATTCCTTGGGATTGAGGGATGAAATTATTATATTTTAAAATTAAAAGGCTCGTCTACAACCACATTATAAATACTCGTGGCTTATTTTCTAAAAAATAGAGTACATTCTACCATTTATTCCTAACATTTTTTCATGAAATATTTAAAATAGTAATGTGAATTTTGAAAAATGTATAAATACCTGTTTATAGTCTGATAAATACGGATGTTTGTTCTGGCTTGAAGTATCGTTTTTGCCCACATTTCGCGAGGTTTTAATAGTTGTTTGTTGTCTTTCACGCTCCACGGATGAGAATTAACGTGTACAGCTTCCACGTCTTTGAACAAATTGTCAACAGGCGAAAAAATATGTCGAAAATATCAAAACAACAAGGATTCACTGCAAATTGCAAAAAGCCGAAATATTTTTATAAAAACCAGGGGGGAGTGAAAACTGTGGCGGGCTCATAATTGAGCCTTGTTCAGTGGCAATTACCATGAATTTAGGGACCAGTAGTCATGGAAATGGCGTCATTTTTCATCAAAATCCGCCATTTTTTTGGCGACACTTCGTTGACTGAACGAAGTATAGGAGCAGGTCCTCCAGTTATTATACAGCTCAGTGCAAGATACGCACATATCTGAAACTGCAATACATACGAGTCAGCGGTATTCCATATTTAAAATTTAAATAAATTAGTGCGCGAAATTGGAAAAAACGCGCGAAACGAAAGCAATATGGCTTCCATCGAAGATATTGAAGAGTTCAAAATAAAAACAAGTAGTGGTTGGAGATGTATCAAATTAAACGCACTTTTTGGTACGTGAACTAATTTCAATATGTAAATTTGTCTTATAAATATTCATACGAATACCGTCTGTGCAATATTTATGAAAGATCCAAATTATGCATACATAAAACCTTTATCGATTTACTGCAGTACTACACTCATATAATAATATAGTATGTCTTTATAAAGGTCGAAAGATGCATGTGCTTTAGAATTATATAGTAAAACTCACTGGATAAAAACCTTTCATAAGGGACCATTCATTAATGGGAGGAGGGAGGGGGGGATGGTGGGTGATAGATACCAAATACTGAACATTTTTTAGAGCTGCCCCAATCGCAAGACCTTTATTTTCAAGATGCCCCCACCTTCATTTAGAAAATTTAGGACCCCCCTCCAGTAACAACATTTAATTGTTACTTAGTTGGTGTAAAATAGGTAATGGGACAAGTACTGCATGGTGTAAGATATTGTGTAGCCTAAATAATAAGAGGACCAGTATTCAAAATGGTTGTTATTTACTCTGACTCCTATCGTGAACTGTATATACGTAATAAACTATGGAAACTACGATTATAGGAACTAAAAAAGGTGGGATATTTTGTGGGATACGATAAAGGCAAGAGATTGAAAATGAGTAGGAAAGTATTAAAAATTTGGGGTCGCCCCTTGTCATATATTTTCAGGACACCCCAAATTCAGGCAAAAATAGTTGAAGCTGTCCCCCCCCCCTTTTCTCACCCACCGCCCCCCTCAGTGGCGTAATGCTCACTAGGTAGGGTTAGTTAAAAAACTAAGGGCCCCCGACAGTTAGGGGCACCCATCAGCCACGGCCTATCACCCAGAAAATTAGACTGAAAACGTAAAAAATGCAGGTAATTACGAATCGATGGAAAAATAGAAAATTAATAATGCTAAATAATAAACCCTCCATCGATGATGGCTAAATAATAAACCCTCCATCTCAAATGGAACAAAAGTTATTCTTAAAAGTCGTTACATGTGTTGGAGACTGTTACTGTCATTGTTATAGACACAGAGTTTTCCATATTCTACTGATAAATATTCAATTTAAATATAAGATCTCAGTCAAACAACAGTCAACAGGGCCCCCACACCAAATATGCCTAAGGGCCCTTCTTCCTCCGTTACGCCACTGCCCCCCCCCCTGCCATTATTAATGACCGGTGGTCCCTAATCATTCATTATATACATTTCATACAATTTCATATTAGTATATACATGACTGGCTTTTCAAGATACATCAATAAAACCCGATAAACAGAAAGTCAGAAACAAGTGCTAATACTACAAATAAATGGTAGAAATACAAAACAATGGAAAAAGGCTTTCATTCAATTATCTGCCGGTATGATATTCACATGCCTACTATATGATGTTAAAATGTATCATCTTAGGCCCTGTTTACATGAGCCATGCAGGCTAGCCTGCCTTGCCAGAATAGAAAATGGTTATCATATGAGTCAGGATCTTGGCTAACCAAGACACTGAAGACAAGCCTGGCTAACTAGGCCAGGTTGAGTCATCTAATGTCCATTTTATATACTATATATGCATAATCACTTCATAGTCTGCTATAGCACAACATATTTCAATAATTATTAACCCAATAATTATTAACCCAACAATTTCTAACAATTATTTTATTAATTGACAACAATTATTTTATTAAAATATTGATTATTTTAACAATTATTTTATTAATAACAATTATTTTATTAAAATATTGATTCCCTTCATTGCTGAAATCTAACATTGATTTGTTGCAGGCAAAGAAGCATCCACGTAGCCTTTGACACCCTAGTCTGTTTTTAATGTTGTCAATATTAACTCATTAACTGGCAATGTGAATGTGCCCAAATGTACCTACTTATAGTATTTACTCTGTCTAATGCCAGACGATTAATTACTCGTCAGTGGTAGAGTGCTGTCAATAAATGGGTTAAAGTGAATGTTAAATATGAATCAAGTTGAAATCGGTTGTAATAACCAACTGATTCATTAACCCATTAAGTTGCAAGACTCCACTTGATGAGTAAAATCATCTACAATCTTGGACATAAATTATTGGCAAAAGGGTAAAAAATAAGAAAATTCATCGAATTTCACCCCCCTTCCCCTAATATCAATGTTGATGGGTGTATTCAAGGCCAGATAACTTGGCCAAACATTGATATTGGGGGAAGGGGACATCATTGGGACAAACATGTCTTAAAATTATATTTTGAAGTAATAAACTAGTTTTTGCCACTTTTTGTCCAGGATTGTAGCGTTAGACAGAGTAAAGATTTATTGTGTTATCTGCCGCTGTTGGAAGATCCTTTCCTTGAACATTTTACTAAAGATTTGCTGTGTCATCTGCTGCTGTTGGAAGATCCTTTTCCTTGAACATTTTACTAAAAATTTACTGTGTTATTGTGCATAATTTCTAGTAAAATATAAGAAAAATTCAAATGTTGTATTTCCAAAAATATGCACTCAGACTTTGTGGACCCAGGGGGAGGGACGGCTTAATCAAGGCATACAAAAGTTAGATGTACACAGGGACGAAACTTGAGGGGGGTATGGGGGGGGGGTGACACCCCCCAAAGTATGAATCATCTGGATTGGTAGGGCGAATCATCTGGATTGGCAGGGCAATCAAAGATTTTAAATGATAGAATGTAGAGTTATTAAGTAACTTACAGGGATTTATAGACCCAAATTTTACAGATATTGGTCAAAAAATAAGGGTTTCAAGCATGTTTTAACAGGAATTTGTATGGAAAAATTTTTTTGACCCTTAATTTGACTGGTTTATGTCTGGAAAATTTTTTCAACCTATCTCCCCCCCCCCGGCACCCCTAGCAGACACCCCTTAATTAAAATGGGCTAGTTTTGCCCCTGGATGTACGGTGGGGGGGGGGGGATTTTCTGAGAGGGGTCCCCCCAGCTCTGGCTAGGTTACTGTATAGTATTCCCTAAAGCAATAAAATATTAATATTTCTAACTAATAATTATTACTAATTAATCTAATAGTCAATTAGCCAAGCCGGACTACATGATTCAAATCCTAATAGGCCAATTGCACAAGGCAGATGAAAAGAGTGACTAACAGACTAAACAGTGATGCGACCATAGTTGGGTTTGAATCTGAACCATGTGGCACTTTAGCACTTGGTGGTCAACTCCAAAAGGTAACACAGTTATTGGATTGAGTTCATTATTCATAATTCTTTTTAGTATAAATTTTGCATATCAAATGAGCTTTCGCGCGTTCTGATTGGCTAGTTGACTAGTAAATCTGAGGCATTATTTACCACCTGGGTAGTAAATAATGCTTTTCAAAAAGAATGATTCGGAAAATTTGGTTTCAAAATCGACAAAATATTGAAAAAATCGCCCCAGAAAAAGAAAAAAAGCACAAAATGTTGCATTTAACTTGAAAGGTAGGATTTAGTATTATATTACTGTGTCAAACATATTCACGGACAATTTAAAACTTATTTAAAACTCCGAAACATTCGCTTCAAACGTAAATCTGAAATAGCAAAAAATATCCCGACTTTTGGGAAAAGCCGTGGTATTCTTTTTAAAACAATTTTGTTTTGTTCCCTATAAATATCTCAATTTGTACGATACTATTTCTTTTGACTATGTCGTGTTTTCATTGTGCTGTATGGTGTCCTTTCGCTGTATTGTACTATTTGTGTTTTTAAAACTTGTAAAGTGAAAAGTGTATTAAAACTTTTATATTAATTCGAACGATATAGTTTTACATTTCATTTTACCAAATTTCTCCGCCATTTCCTGAACAAATTAATGCTAAACAGAAACTATTTTTTAATTCTAAGTCTGGTAAAAAAGTCATTCCATCATTGTGTTTATATTCTAAGCAGAAATCGCGAAAAATAACTTTGTAATAAAGCAATAAAGTCGCACAGGAAGCCATTTTGAAAGCGTGCGTGTACAAGAAACACTGCAACACTAAACCGTAAACCGGTCGAAAACAGTTTTATTTCTGAATTTTAATTAAACTTATAGTTGGATAACTTGGATATTTTGTTTTATTCATTAAAAATTTATACTAAAACAATTATTCGCCTCAGGCTCAGTGATTACGGTGAATATTCACCTCGACTTCGTCTCGGTGAATATTCACCGGTAATCACTTCGCCTTCGGCGAATATTAATTCACGTTGTATTCAATAATCCATAGCAAATACAGAACTTTTAACAAAATTTGCTCGCTTCCACAAGGCATAATAGGCTATAAAAGCGACAAACGTGCAAAGTTGACCACCATGTGTTTTCCTATATGTCACCAATATTTAATAAATACTATAGCCACATGTGGGCTATATTTTTCCCTTGGAAAATTCCCTTTGAAATGATTTTTAAATTAACCCCAAATAGGTAATAAAAGTAAATATATATTTCGCTTTACACATACCTATTTATCGATATAACAATCTTTAAATCTCCATTTGTAATGATTTGTTTATTTGTAATGCATCAATTGTAAATGTAATGATGTCTTTATTGCGTTTATATAAAGTTTACTGCACTTGAAATACCGCTGACTCGTATGTATTGCAGTTTCAGATATGTGCGTATCTGTGGTATCTTGTCTATGATCTAGTGCCGACCACTGAGCTATACTATATTACTGGAGGACGTGCTCGGCATCAAAAAGTGTCCGCAAAAACATGGCGGATTTCGGCCTTTGCTGACGCCAGAATGACGCCATATGGTTCCTCCGGCTCATGGTAATTACCACTGACCAGGCTCAATTTTGAGCCCGCTACGACTTTCACACCCCCCTGGTTCTTATTAAAATATTTTTGCTTGTTGAAGTATTTGCAGTATATTCTCGTAGTTTTGATTTTTTTCATATTTTTTGTACCTTTGACCACTGGTTCAAATGTGTGTAAGTTGTACACATTATATTCTCGTCCTCAAAAGACAGAAAACCTCGAAATACATCCGCAAAGACGATATTTGAAGTCGCAACTACAGGTAAAATATTTCTCAGTTCATAACTTCACACACTGAGTCACACTCGAGCAAATTTTCTACAAAAATTGTTGGGTTTAACTGTGGTACAATGTATTATATTTTAGCCACAAGTATGTAAAGGTCTCGTAAAGCCTTGTTGTACAAAGTAATCAACTTTCGTTTCATTTAAATCGTGTGCAAAATGGTATTTTGATCTATTGTTTATTTGTTTACATGCTCTATTTGTTGCATATTTTATGATGTTTTGAATAAGCCTGCTGTGCAGTTTGTATTTCATGATACTATTTTGAAAATTTTCTGTAGGTGGCACGAAACTGTGCATTTTACAAATATCAAATTATCTTAATTTGACCCTGGGGACTGATTTTATAATGACATGATTACATGAAAGTACAGTATAATGTGCTACCAGCTAGTACTTACCACTATATTTTGAGGGAATAACAAAGAGACTTTATAGTATTTTATATTTTGTACTAACTTTATATGCAAAAGCTAGAGGTACTCAAGGAAGCTCATTCTGCTGTCGGAGTACCTTAAGGAGTTTTGAATCACTATGATTGTAGTTCTTGGGTGGGGGTTCTAGTTAGTGCAGGATGATGCAACCACTGTAGCTAAGACAAATAAACCTCGACGTTTCAGCTGAAGAGCTTGGGGCCTTTATATTTGTTCATATTTTTTTAGCTTTTGGTGTACATACACATAGGATTATGGTTTCTGTAACTTCTAATAGTTTCTTGATAAATATAATTCTGAAAAAACAATGTATTTTCAAGGGGTCACTCAACTTGCCAACAAAGTTCGAGCATTGTCTGAAAACCTAGTATATTTCTTTTGTATTCCTCATTTTCCCTTGATATGATTTTTCATGCTTTTTCTCTTTTAGAGTAACCTATATAATCTATTCTTGTTTATTGCAGAATTATTTACCACCACAATGATGCAGTTGAAATTGTATTATTTTAATTTAAATTCTTCAATGAATAATTATTAACTACCAATCACCAATGAGTCATTCCAGAAAAGATAAACACTAACTCCACAGATGTCTGATGTCTGAAGTGCTGTCTGAAGTGGGCAGAACTCAACTGCTGATAATAGTAAAAGTATTAGCTAAGGGTGTCCAAAAGTGGGAGGAAGCTGAACCTCCCATCTCTTCCATTAGGGGTGTGGATATTTCTTTGAATGACCCAATCAGTTTGAACTAACTGTATAATCAAGTTATTCTAGTATAATTATCACTTTGTAGTCCCATGAGCTGTGACATCACTTTGGCTGTTTGGCATGTTTATCTCTTTTCAATTTTCTTTTGGTAGCGATAACAGATTACTACTACAGATACTGTATTACTACACATTGTTACACCCAAATAAGATCATATACATCAATGTTAACTATCATGATACAATACATCTGTTACAGGAAGAACATTTTTGCTTCAGTTCTTGTATAATTACATATCACTTTGATGCCTGTAATAGAAATGAGAAATAAAGTTACTTTGTTTATGATTGTTTTATTCTATGGTGTGAAACTGTTTCATATACATTTCAAAATTAATTGCAATGGGTGCATACTGTAGGTTCTGGCCAGTTAGCTGAGACCACCACCCCTACTTTGCAAGTTACAGCTGTGGCTGGATTGGAACTGTTAGCTCTTGTGCACCACTAATCTTGTATAAATCTGAATTAACCCATTAAGCGCAATCGCTCTCCCCAATTGACGAGTAAAATTATCTGGTGTTAGACAGAGTAAATTAATCTTGCGTTAGACAGAGTAAAGGGCGCACCAGGGTGCAATGCGACTCATAACTAGACACGTAGGCTAGTTATTAACCCATTAAGCACCAGCACTCTCTACTTGATGAGTAAAATCATCTGGCATCAGACAGAGTAAAATAATAAAGTAGGGTGCAATGTGACTCAATGGGTTAACCTCTAAGGGACCTAAATAAATATGGCTAAATATTAATCAAGACTCCCATGACAGAGGTATTTTCTGAGTGAAGGAGGTTTTTTGTTTGGAGATTTTTATGAGGCATAGAGGTTGTCAGGTTGACCCATACTAGCATTCAAGGTAATGCCAATGCAAGAATGATATAAGTATAAATCATGCAAATTTGGGTATGCACAAGTCGATGATAGCTCGATGCTAAACTGAAATGTAGTGCACAACCCCACAAAAAAGCCTAAATTACAGCCAATTGGTAAATGCTGATACAAAACCTAGCAAGACTAGCAGTTTATAATATTTGTGAAGGATACAATACAGCTTGTTTATACTGTATATAAATCTAGTGCTAACTGCTCTTTATGAAACAAAGCAAACTACAGATTGCATGAGCAGCATGCTGTTTAAACTAATAAACTGGCACTAAAAACAAAAGCCAGTGCCTGAAACTAGAAAGAAAATGTATGTACACAATGTATAAATAACCATGTACAACGTTTTTTATGTCTGCTCCAGAAATATTGGTGTAAATATAAAATATAAGGGTTTGACAAATACATATTTATACCTCGATTTTATACGCATATCGGCCCCTGACTTTGCCAATCGAAAATTTGTCGAATAAAAGGTAAAAACTTAAAATTTTCACAAATCTTACCTTTCAGAAGAAATATTCTTCCTTTTAAAGTCTTTACAGCGAATTTTTGCATCCACAAGTGGAGAAAAACGGCATGATTTTGTCTTGAAAACATAAAATATTTGTGCAAACACAGGGGGGCGAAGGTCTTTGTTGGATGCTTAGGATCGCGGTTGGTCAGTGGTAATTGCCATGAGCCGGAGGAACCATATGGCGTCAGCAAACGTGAAAATCCGCCATGTTTTCGCGGACACTTTTTTGACTGACGAGAGATAGGAGCACCTCCTCCAGTAATATTATAGCTCAGTGGCTATCCCCCACTAATACATTATCTCACAGAAAGGTCCCTTTTCAAAAAATGCTCCCTCCCACGGGAAAATCCTTGAAAAAGGCCCTGATAAAATCTCGAACAAAGTTGTATATGTGTTCTGTGT